TTTGATTTTGAATTTTTTTTTTTGATCCATTTCACATACAGTTTGATATTTTAGAGCATATCTAACAGTTATGTTGTTTTATCAGAAAAATTTGGTTCAACAACTATGCTAAACTCTTTTTAAAATAAATAAAAAAAAGAATGAAAAAATCTCCAAATTTTAAAGAAAAGAGAGAAAATATAACATAGATGTTAGAAATGCTCTTGTATTAACGAGACATTTAAACTAATTATTTACTAGAAGGGTATTCACGCAATGCATCGAGATATATATGTTGATTTTACATTTTATTTTTTTTATCTCAATCGATGTTATAATATGGTCTTATGTGATTTTGAAAAAAACGATGATGTTTTTATTTTTAAATAAAATATAAATTTGAAAATATCATAAAAATTTGACAAAATCATATCGATATTAATATCAAATTAACTATTAAAAATTTCTCATTTTTATGTAATTTTTTATAATTCAATTTTTTTTAATTATAATTTAATTTAAGTTCAATAACGAAATAGTTTTTATTTGATTTAATAATATAATTTTTATAAAGATAATAATTAATTATTCTGTTAGAGTTTAATGATTATCTTAATTATATTTTAGATTTTTTATATTTAAAATGAGATGTTTATCCTGTATTTGATTATGTTTATCTGCAATTAGTTTCAAAAATTCAAAGATAAAGCTTTAATAAGTTGTACTTGTAATCTTGATTTTTAAGTAATATGCATCAATAAACAATATTTCATGCATAAAAAGTAGTTTTTAAGAGTTTTTGTTAAATACTTTATAATATAGTATAAATATAGATAACTGTAATTTTTAAAATTACTATAAAATTCGTATAAATTAGTAAATATTCTAAAAGATATTTTTTCATCTGACTTGTATCAGTTGAAAAGTTATTCAATCTCGAGAGATAATAATAATATAATATTTTCTTAAAAACCATTATAAATTTATGGTCGCTTTATCATCACCAGTTAATTGTTATTTAATATAAAAAATACAACTAAAACGATCTAATAAAAATATGATTCTAGATTATTTTTAAAAAAAATCCAAAAGTAGTTGGAAAATTCGTGGTTTTTTGTGGTTGTGCACTCGATATCCTTTCTTTTTTCTAAGTCAACCGTAAGATAGTCAAGTGATCATTTGAGTATATTTTATACATTGAGGGCTTGTTTGTTTTTTGAAAAAAACCACTTAATGCCTCTTAAGTCTGAACCGGTCAGACGTTTTTATTTTCAGACCGTTTGTTTTTTTTATATAAATAAGAGCTGAAAAGCTCTTAATTTGCTCTGAAAAAAAAGTGATAACATAATCAYTTAAATCCTCTTAATCGCTCCCTCCAGACTTTCCCCTCCATCCTCACCTCCAGATTTAGTCCTCCAAATCTATCTTGCAAAACATTCGATCTCCAAATCAATTACGTCCCAGATCGATCCACATATTCTCGTAAAATCATGACCCAGATCGATCCAAATCTATCAGATCCAAAACTTGACTGATTCAGATTTTAGATTTCAGACGTAAAAACAAACAGTCTGACTGATTCATATTTCAGACTTCAGTACCACCTCTTAAATTTCAGAAGTGAAATCAGACTTCAGATTTCAGAACCTCTTAAAAAACAAACGCCACCTGAATATATCCAGTACAAATACAATGAACAATATCTGATTACTAAGGAAATTGTGAACATTATTACAGTGAAAGTCGGACTCAATAAAATTTGATCAATCGATTTTTCTATCGTTAAGGTGGAGAACTGAATCGAGGAAACAATGAATCAATGAACATAACTACAAAATAATAAATATCGTCATACCCCTAAATCAACCTTAGGGGCTGTTTACTTGCGGCTTAATTAGGCTTATTGGTCTATCTGGCTTATTCGCACAACTCATTTGGGTTGTTTACTTACGGCTTATTCGCACAGAACATGGCTTAATCGCACAGACAGAAATGGTGTGTTGTCCCCATTCAGCCACAAAAATAACACTCTTACCCCTTATTTAAAGCACCGCCTCCTTCCCATATGAGACACCCCATCTTCGGCATCTTTATGATTTTTTGTTTTGAAGTTCAAATAATTAATATTGAGGGGGGGTAAATCGGTCATTTATGTTATTCAGACTGTAGGTTCAGATAAAAAAAAGTAAACAACAACACTCATTTATCCAGACAGACAAATTTATCCATACATGACTTCATAAAATTTTTGGTAAACAGCCCCTTAGAGAACTATAAGATATTACTTAGGTCTCAAGGAAAGCATAACAACTTTATTATATATGAAACAGTTAAGATAAAGTACGGTCATATCTCCAATGACCCAAATTCTGCCAACGTAATGTACAAGGTAAATAGTTCAGTAAGTACACAACTAACATCTAGGCTACGGCTAAGCTTGCCCTTTTTTCTTATCTAATCTGAAGTTCCTGCTCTTGATACGCATATTGCTAATCAGCTAAATAATTCAGTGAGTCCACAGTAAAATTCTTGCTCCTAATTAGATACAACAATATACAGTATTCAAGCTTCTCAAAATATGGCATCATACGTTTGATAAATTACGGTTCATGTACAATAAACACATGTATTTGCAGATGAGGCTCACAAAACGATTGCCATCATGCAATATTGACTCAGTAGAAAGAAGTTTAAGTTCCTACGTTCTCAAATGAAGCAGTACCACATGCGCTACTTTCACTAACATGTTAAAAGCTCATGCAAGTTTAAAGCCTAAATACTCAGGTGAGTTCATGTGATTTATAAAACGGAGACGCATGCAATATGTTGCAAAGTTTTATATTCAGATTATATGTTTTCAATATCTTGCAATTGCGTGTTTTATATATGATAGTTTTTGAAAAGTATGAGATACGTGTCTGGTCTTCGACAAAATAACATACCGGTATTGATCTGGTCATTGCTTCGGGAAATAAACCCTGTAAGCGTGATAGCCCTTTTCGTAGTGTTGTTTTGGTCGTGGCTTGGGGAGATAGCACCTATATGCACGACAGAGGAGTTATTTTTATGATAAGGTGTATGTTCCAAGTTGTATGATATCTCTCTACAGTTCAAAGCATGTTTTTAGTTTACTTATATCCGTTAAGCATGTAAGAAAACCGTGAACTCGCTAGGCAAAAACCGACTTTTTTAGCATGCATCTCTTAGGAGCCGCTATAACGGGTAGTTTGGAAAGATTTAGGAAGACTCGAAGCCGCTCTTAAGTATTTAAATCATTGATTATTTTATTTGAAGTTTTTCTTCCACTGTTAAGTTTTGAGTTAAATATATGAATCTTTTATGATTCACGTTATAGTTGCTAGACATCATACCCTTGATTTTTGGGGTGTGACGTAACTGTATATATGTTTTTTTTCTTAGTTGTATCCAAAGATGTTAAGGCTTCCACTGGTAATTATTGATTTATGTTGTATATATGTTTTTTCTCGGTTGTAAATGAATCTTTTTTCAAATTTAAAGATTTCTTCGTTTTCTCTTATTTTTCCTATCTTGGAATAGAAGTTTCATAACTTTTATAAATATCTTGAAAATTTAATTTAATTTAATTTAATTTAATTTTATTGAAGTTTTGAGACTTGAAAGTGAAGCATAGGGAATGTGGACAGGATTTGAATGTTGTCCTAAAGCAACCTAATAAGGCTTCTAAGTTTCATCATACATTTTATTTTTTTAATCATATTCATTATCTTTTTAACTATTTAATTATAATATTTATTTTTTTAATCATATTCATTATCTTTTTAACTATTTAATTATAATAATAATAAGAGAATAAATTGCATGAAAAAATAACGTACTTTAACTTGATTCTTATTTAAGGTAACGTATTTTCAAAATTTATATTTTGATACCTAAGATGTAAAATTTTAAATGTTTAAGTATCCAGATAACCGGTTGAAGATTAATTTTAGATTAAACAAAATTCATGTGACTAATCACGTCAACAAATAATATTGAGTTGGATACCATATTACTTGTTACATCACCATGATAACCGGTTAATGCTTCAACCAGTTACCCGGGTACATAAATGTTTAAAACTTTACATCTTAGGTACCAAAATGAAAGTTTTGAAAGTACGTTACCTAAAATAGAAATCAAGTTAAAGTACGTTATTTTTTTCATGCAATTTGCCTTAATAATAATGATGAATGAGTGTATGAGAATAGATGTTAAGATGAAAAATATAAGAAATGATATGGATTCTTGATCACTTTTAATCTCACCCCACCCCATTAATTGTGTTTCTCATGAGAATTGATATAATGCATCTAATTAGTATTACTGTTGATCTTGTACAAAGATTGATCCAAGGTGAAAATCTCTTATTACTCTTCTCGTAATAACTTTCATTCTCCCTCAAAACCCGACTCAAATAATAATTAAATTAAGATGTTAATATTGTAATCTTTTAAATTGTTTTCTCAACATTTTCTTTTCCAAAAAGATAAATTATGATTTAAATAAGTTCTTTTTGGAATTTTGACTTTCTTTTTTTCTCGGTTTTAATGTATTTTTTTATTAACCTGGAGGACCACCTGTTTTACAGATAGTCCGAAGTTACTGTATTTGAACCTTCGTGGCTACAAAATTTTTTTTATTTTTTATTGGATTTGAACCTAAAACCTACATATATTATTTACCTTTCGAGTCAAACTTAAACTAATTAGAAAACGTTCCTTTTTGTTGGTTTGAATGTAATTGTGAATTTGTGATCATTGAAGATGTTCTTTAACCCGACCCGATAAGCAATTCCTGCAACTCCTTTCCGATCAAAAGCTACCACGTGTCACGTCCCCACTAGCCCCACTTCCAACGTTCCCTTCCAAGCAACCACCATGCTCAATGGCTCATCACGTCGATGGCTACGGCTTCCTACGTTGGATACATACATCTCCATTGCAGCCTATATATACACACACACACACACTACATTCTACTCCACATTTATTGCTTTTCTCATGGATCCTCGATTATATTCTCTCCTCGTCGCCTTCTCTCTCTTGATCGTCGCCATTTCTTTCACCGCCGGAGATGATACCATCATCCGTCAGGTGGTCGGCGATGGAGAGTACCAGTTGAATACCGAGGAGGATCACTTCGGTGACTTTAAGCGCAAGTTTCGGAAGTCCTACGCTTCCCAGGAGGAACATGATTACAGATTGTCGATTTTTAAGACTAACCTGCGCCGTGCTAAGCGTCACCAGAAGCTTGATCCTCCGGCCATCCATGGAGTTACTCAGTTCTCTGACATGACTCCCGAGGAGTTCCGTAAACACCTCGGGTTGAGGTCTCGACTTAAGTTCCCCGCCGACGCCGGCAAGGCTCCGATCCTTCCGACCGATGATCTTCCAGAAGATTTCGATTGGCGAGATCGAGGTGCCGTCACTGGTGTGAAGAATCAGGTGCTTTTCTCGTAAAATTTATTCAATCATGCAAAAATAAACACCAGTCATTGTTTCTTACTCGAAATTGACGCGTTTCGGCAATCAGTTTTGATGCGGTTTTCTTGTGATGATGAAAATTAGGGTTCATGTGGATCATGCTGGTCCTTCAGCACAACCGGAGCATTGGAAGGGGCGAATTTCCTTGCCACAGGGAAGCTCGAGAGCCTTAGCGAGCAGCAACTTGTTGATTGTGATCATGAGGTTTCATGACTTGATCCATTTGATCGAATCATATAAGTTTCCAATTTCTTGTTACTTGTTAGATTGATCAGAATCTCGTTAATTCTCTGCAGTGTGATCCAGAAGAACAAGGATCATGTGACTCTGGGTGCAATGGAGGTCTTATGACCAGTGCTTTCGAGTACACTCTGAAAGCTGGTGGACTTATGAGGGAGAAGGAGTATCCTTACACCGCCACTGACCATGGAAGCTGCAAATTCGACAAAAGCAAGGTGGTAGCATCCGTTAGTAACTTCAGCGTTGTGTCACTTGACGAAGATCAGATTGCTGCTAACCTCGTGAAACATGGTCCTCTTGCTGGTATATATATATATATTACCATCATATCATTTCCCTATCTAAATATATACTCCATCCATCCCAAAATAAATGTTCATAATGAAAAAGACATTTACATGGACACTTATTTCGGGATGGACTAATGGATGAAATTGGGTGTTGATTATTTGTGGATGTGCAGTGGCTATCAATGCAGCTTACATGCAGACGTATATTGGGGGAGTGTCGTGCCCATTTGTGTGCTCAAAGAGGTTAGACCATGGTGTGTTATTGGTGGGGTATGGTGCAGCCGGTTATGCTCCCATAAGAATGAAGGAGAAGCCATACTGGATTATCAAGAACTCTTGGGGAGAGAGTTGGGGAGAAAAGGGATATTACAAGATCTGCAAGGGTCACAACGTCTGTGGCGTTGATTCCATGGTCTCCACAGTCGTTGCAGCCCATCGTCACTAGTGAAGATATACTGCAACTGCAATCATCATCATCATCATCACCATCATATATATATTATTGTTAATTAAATGTATATAAGAATTGTGATTAGATTAGGCAGTGCTAGATATATGCCTGCCTGCAATTAGTTATTGTTTCAAAATTGAAATTATGCGGCATTGTGCTGCTAATTGAGAGTAAAGGTGGGACTTAATTAAGATGATTCATCCTCGTTATTGAGTAATGCAAAAGAGAAGGGACGGAACTTGTATCCATCTCCCTCGTAGAACTTGTTTTGGAACTCCACCCAGTGAAGTCTTAATGCATGTAGGAAAGCACTGAGCGTTTCCATCACTAGTAACACCCCCGCGGTTGCAAAAATGAACACAATGATGCCTACGATGAGGATGATCACATTATTGTACCTGCATATCATAATTAAGCAACAATTTCATTTTACATTGAATAGCAAGAAGCTTATCTTTACCCAAGGGTCAACGGCCCAGTGGTACCCGGGTTACCGGTAGATTCCAATCTCCTTGGAGGTCTAGGGTTCAAGCCTCATCAAAGGTGAGGAGTGTGTGTGAGTTTTGCCCTATAATAAATATATAGTATATACTTTATAAACATAGAAGCTTTCCCTTACCTCAAACACGAATTTTACATATAAACTTACATTTTCATCATGATTTATAAGTTGGGTCTTAACAAAAACAGCCACAAGGTGTGGGTTAGGCATAGGTTTGCATACATTTCACCCTCAGATCTCACTTATGAGTGGGACATATTGAGTGTGTTTGGTTTGGTTTGGTTTTATTCCGAGTTTATATGTTGTAGAGTAGATTACCTAATTATCATTAGGAAGAATTTTCCGGCTTCATGAGGTACATGTAACAACTCTGAATGCAAGTAGTGAGCAATAAATAGAATCGACTTACCCCCATGCAAGTAGAAGAACCTTCTCATAGAACACAGCTGACAACTCCGAATGTGCCAAACTGTTAAACAAGATAACATTGCATTATATCAGTGTCAAGATTCTCACATTGTGGTAGAAAAGATGTATGTCGGTTATTCTTGGGCATATCGTCCCCTGAAATCGAAATGCTTTGTGAATTATGTATAGTGATTTACACAACTACAAACGGAAAAGTCTTGAAATTACGAAACTACTGATAGCCCTAATCTTTACACTCCTAAATCATGGTGCTGAAAACTGAGGTAAGATGTTTGTGACCCGGTTTTCTGTGCTATGAACTTTCAGAAAAACCAAGAAACACTAGGTGAACACAAATGCTTATTGATGTAGGACATTCAACGTTGAAACATACATTATATATTTGGCTAACTTAAAATGGTAAGATAGAGGTTAAATCGTAGTAGCATACCTGAGAGCCCATAAACGGAGGTATGAAGCTGTATTTGATACTGCCCCAAGTACAAATTCTATTGTATGGATGAGTTGATGAACAAATACTTCACTGAACTCGAATTCTTGATCATCAGAATCACGATCTGCCTCTCCGTGCAAGGAGTCATCATTGTCATCGAGGAGTGCATAAGACTCATCTTGGTGCCTCTTGAATGTGACGAAACAATGTGGCATGGCAACATAGAGAATTAGAGATGCATATAAGTTACATGTTTTGTTTTGCAAGCTGAGGGTCTTCTAGGAAACAGTCCCTCTATCCTTTAGGATATAGGCAAGGACTATCATACATCCTACCCTGTTATGCCCAGACCCAAGCCCAAGCCCATTAGTAGGATATAAATAGAGGGTGTGGTGGGAGAGTTGAGGTGTGTAGAAATACCGAGTTTGTCCTTGGGAGAGTCTAGTCTCTCCAATAGCTGGTTACTTGTCTTTTTTATGTTAATCGATGCATCCGGCTACTATCACCTCCACATTGCTTTTATTTTCATTGTTCAGTCTATTTGGTTCATAACAATAAATGTTATGCACTAACCCATGACCAAGCCCATATGTTATGAACCAAATAGACCGAACAATTAAAATAAAAGCAATGCGGAATACACAGTAGCCGGATGCTTCGATTAACAAGGAAAAGATACATAAGTAGATATTCGAAAGGCTAGAATCTCCCAAGGACAAACTCAATATTTTCTGTATACCTAAACTCTCCCACCACACCCCCTATTTATTAACAAATATAATAGACTTAATACCAATACTATCCCTTCTAGAATATATATATATATATATATATATATCCTACTAATGGGCTTGGGCTTTGGTATCTGCGTAACATTAGGATAGAGGCAAAGACTGCTTACATCCTATCCCTAGACTCTACCTCTGTATAGGATATATTGGGTCTTTTTTTGCGGGGAGGGGAAGGGACAAATGGCATACCGTTTTATGTCGTGCTTTCAAAATGTAAGGCTTAGGCAGCAGCATCCATGGGACTGCAATAAGGGAGAGTAGTAGCAGCACAAGCTGGTGATGGAATGATTATATTAGCTTAGCCATATAAAAAATATGAGAAAACATACTCTGGAATTAAAAATTACAGGCAGGGAGCAAACCTGAACTGTCTTTTGGTTTTCAAAAAGCTGGTTTTCACCAAGATCATCTGTGGGACTAAGGAACATGTATATCATTATATGGTATAAATCAGCTTTTGAACCGGTGTACCACTTTGCAACAATAAGGAGGGAAAGGTATCCAAACAGACCATTCAGAAAGATCATTTGCGGAATAAATTGGAACCTGGAATTGCAGGAGAAGTGTCTACTATCAGTAAGCATAAATTCTGGAGATACACGAAAGGATATTCTAGCAATTTAAGGTTCTTTTTCTCTTTTCTTTATATCCTTCTAAGGAGTGAAAGTCCCTTGACATTTCCAAAACAACAGGTTGGCCACTAAAACCCATGGTGGAAGTTACTATAAGGAGCTCAGAAATCTACTTTTCTATCCATGTAGGACAGGTGGTTGCATACTGCACGAAGTTGGCGGACAAACTTACCAGATATTCAAGAAATTCCGAAAATACAGGGCATTGAAGAAGCTCAGCATTATCCCGAGGTTCATTTGTGCTACCCCAAGAAGAATTGACATTTTCATCTTCAAGGAATTAAGGAACGGCAACTCACTGCGAGTCCCATGCCATGAAGGATCCACACCAAATGGGTATGTGTCACGCACCTTTACCAATCCAACGGTGGTAGAGTCACTGAAACAAAGCATGCCAACAGTTTTCTACAAGGTCAAAATTTTATTGAAATCGAAAATGATACGTTCAGAGGGATAATAATCCAACCAAACAAACTGACACAGTGTAAAGAGAGATGATGGAACAGATAAAAAGAATACCTGCAAGAAGCATCACGGCAGGCATATGCTGAAGGACCAAATAATGCAAATGGAACTGAGAAGAACTCGTTATAGATCAAACCTGTGTAGATTGAGAAGATCGACATCAACAATATAACATAGCGACCACCAAAGGCCATCTCCATAATGTCTCCAAGCTTCTGTATTTGATAAAACACATGACTAAATCAAATCTTTGAGAAAGAGAATTAGAGGATCACTTTTTTTATGAATAACAACCATGTTGTAAAAATAAGCTAGATAAGCATGATAAAAAGATAAGTAAGCTGATCCATGTTCCAAGTTTGCTATATTTTGTCCTTTTATGTAAATATGTATAGTTATATGTTTAGTATTCTCTTCTGTATACTCAAGACTTTCACTTCTTCAATCAATACAGTGTGGAAGCATTCTCTATGATCTTCATATCTTCTTTGATCTTCATCTAACTGATTTAGCTAATATGGTATCAGAGCTAAGGTTACAACTCTATTGCTGCTCTCATATTTTAGCTGTAACCATATCGTGCTCTTGCTATCACTGTTTTGCCCCTTACAGCAGTTGACAGTGGAAACTTTCCAGCTAGCGATTGATTCAGTAACGGGTAAAGGACAGTTGTTTTGATGAAATGTCTCCAAGAACATCTTTCACCTATCTACTGTCAAACCGCTCTCTTTCAGGCTTGACCAATATTATTGAACCTACAAACCCACTGCACACCTTCATGGAACCGCCCCCCGGAAAACCCTGTTGAAAATCTTTCTTTTTTGTTCAAACGTGAGGTAACCAACTTAAAACATGACCTTCAACCTTTCGTTCGCATTCTTCCCCTGTGTGATCCTGTCATCTAGCATCCAAGCTCTCCTCCATAGCGGGGACCTCTGGGTAGCATTCCAGGTCGCATCTCCATCCCCCAAGCCTTGTTCTGTGCAACCTCCACCAAATCACTTACAGACTTGCCTTCATCATGTCCGAGCCTTCTACCAGCAGTAACACCACCACAATGGCTGATGGCTCGGAACGTCCTGATAGAAGAACTTCCAAGTTCAAGCCTCATAGTATCAGCAAGTCACTGTTACATACAACAAGCTTGCTCATATTCCACAACAGGTTCCATCTAATTTATCTTGTACTTTAGTCTCGAGCACATTAGGTTCCTTGTGGTATTTTGATTCCGGATCCTGCAATCACATGACACCTTATCGGGATATCTTTGTTACCAAGTCCCATGGTAAGTCTATAAAATTTGTTCTCACTGTTGATAGCGCACACCTTCCTGTCAATTACAGTGGACGCATATTATTATGGGTTTCTAAATTCACAGCTCAGAGCCTCCTACTTATACCCATTTTGAGACAATTGGCACACTCCATCCTACCAATCCGAGTAATACTCGATACCGTCACAGTGTCACTGCAAAAACTCTGCAACTATGTAGTTATACATATTTCCTTTAAGAAATTTGAGAATTGGCCCTCTTTCTCGATACTTCGACTATGCTGCAATAATGAAAGGTTCATGCTTAGAATCTTAACATTAATAAATACAGACAGCCAACAACGAAGTTACTGTCCCTTGTTTTATATGTTCGTTTTCAGTATAAAAGGACATCATGCAACATTAATGGCAGGAGGATAGCTTTAGGTATAAATAAAACCAGCAGAGCATGCTTTTATATACCTTCCTCGTAACAATGTCAATGTCATCAGTACAGGTGAAAAAGATAGTGTGGATAGTATAGTTAGTTACCTGACCAGAGAATTTCTTCTCCTTCGATATAATATATAAAGTTGCCAGCAGCAGGCATATACCATGCCCCCAATCACCAAACATTACCGCAAACAGAAATGGGAACGTGACAACAGTAAATACTCCAGGATTTGCTTCTTGGTACTTGGCAACCCTGTTTGTTACAATAGACAGTCGGGGTGATGCTAGATATATGGAAACATTAAGCAAACAGCAAGTCCAATACTAAGAAAACAGAACTTCCTCAAGGAGGGCCATGACAAGCTTTGTCAGCTGGCGGCAAAACTAGCTATTCCTAAGGAAATGAATACAACTTATGGACCACCAAGAGAGATGACCTGATCGTCTCAAAAGTAGACCTTCAGATCACCAGCAGGTAGGGAGAGTTGTATCAAGTAGAGGGCAAAAGGAGAAGGGGAAGGCTGAGATCTACATGAATGCAAAAAATGACGCTATATCGGAGAGCATGATGGATGCTATTATGTGGGCCTTGATTATTCACATGATTATAATTTTCTCATCGGTTTTTTGCCCACTTAGACTACTTCGTAATAGAAGACTAGTAATTGCTATACAAGGTAAACCAAACCACAATGCTCATATATTTGAGAAGCAATGCCTGTAAGCTCACCCATATGCATCAACAATCGCCTGGAAGGACTCCGTAAATTTATTTGTTCGGAAATAAGTTGGAGGTAACTTCTTAGTGTGCAAAACACGGAATATGGTGCCAACTTGTGAGCTTGAGTCAATTGCTGCCTGCTGCAATGCATTCTGGATCTGCAAAAAAAGGGTCCATAGGGTTTAACTGTACTTTAGAACAAAAAAATTATGAGAAATTAACAAATTTAATCCACTTTGGTCCAATACTGATATAATACTGATCAATTCAAACATAACAAGTTGAAAACAAGGTCCATCACGGAGAGGAACATGCATCCACCTGGTCGTAAACTTACATCTGTAAACCGTAAAAGCGATAGATTTTTCCATTCTTCTACTTCCTTTTCTTTGAATACAAGAAACACTTAGTCAGAGCAACAGACCTTTTTGGTTGCATATTTGGGGCTCCACCCTTCAGCCACAAGACACTTCTTGGTCACATCAATGCTGAGCATGTTTAAAATGTGATAAATGGATTTCTCCTTGTGCACCTTGCAAAAGTAACAGAAAAGAATTTAAAGTGTTAAGAAAGCATGTTTAACAATGAAGTCAACAAAGCAGCCTAGTTGATCAACCACATGCAAATTTCGACGGGAAGATTTGACACAATACCACTTGATTCCACTGTTCATATTGTTCTCCTATTCTTCGTAACAAAGTGCCACGGTGCTGAAGTCCAGCCTCTATTGTCATCTTTAGCTCAGATAGCCTTCCAGATACCTGGGAAGAAACAGTTTCAATTATCAGAATCCTCACTGAGGTCTAAACACATTAGAACCAAGCTCAAGCACATCAATCAAATCATTCAAGAAAACAAGGTCTAGATATCACGGTAAGTGGATATTCCAGACACTTATGTAGAGTGACTGGCAGTGAATAATCATCTAGCCAAATAGAGACGTTAATTAGTAATGAACGTCAAACCATACTGATTTGCAAGTTCCTCTGGAATCAAGCAAAGCACTTGTTTCAATTCTAAGGTTGCAAGCTATTGACTATCAGGCCTAGATGACTCATTGGACTTCAATATGGATCCTGATGCTTCATGTAAGAACCTAAATCTGTTTTAGTTATAACTGATAGGAAAACCTTCATTGTATTGATGATACACTTGAAGACGATAAATATCCATGATTAAATGTGGTTGGGAATATATATATATATATATATATATATATATATATATATATATATATGGTGTAGGGTAGAGGCAAAACAAAAAACTTTTCCATAATTAAATTAATACAAGGCAAGAAATATTCAACAAAAGTCGAATGGCCCCAGATAGTTCCGATCAGGACTTTCTTATAGTTCCCCTACCCCATACATGCATGTGTGAAGGGGGTGAGTATATGGCATGTTTATTATGTTGCTAGGCTTTTGAAAATCATACAATGCAACTTATGTTTCTCAGATCTTCAAATTTATAGAAGTTGATGTATTTTATCCATTGCAGTAATAATTGGATATAAAATTCAGCTTGGCCAAAAATAGGCCTAGCAGATTTAAAGGGCAGACCAGAGAAGACTAGCTGATACTTCTGACATGCTGAATGCAATAGATTTCATACGGTTCAGGTGCCATAATTGTGGCATCTAGTGCTTATGAAAAACGTGGAATCCTATCAATCTTATTTCTAAAAGCTGAATGAGAAGTGTCATGAAATAATATCCGTAGAAAAGGCAGGAATAATTCCAAGAAAACATTTCCCCACCCCCAAATGGTGTGGAAATGAATGATAGCCAACCCCTGATGAGAACCAAATATCCTACAATAATGAAGAAATGGTAATAATACACACCTGGGAAATTTAATGCAAGTACATAGCAGCCGAGCTATTATGATAACAGTAGAAGCAGGTCATCAACATTCCCATATGTTTGATAATCAAGCACTAAAGCGGTTGTTGTGTACCTCAGTTATCATTTGTGTTTGTTTTCCCATGTCCTCTGTAAAAGGGTAGCGGTTTACTGCAAAAGCTTCACTTATTTTAACAATCTTGCTCTTCAATCTTTCTCCAGAAAAGAAAACAACAAAAATGTTTTTCTGAACCTGTATGGCGATAGTCACAAGTTAATAACTGTTGCACAGTATGAACCTTTTACCACATTTCTCTACGCAATCAACACAGATGATGAATTAATATACTGGCATGATGCTTATTTAAGAATATACCAACTTCTAGGATAAGTTGACAAGAGAACTAGAGATGCTACAAATGAGTCAAAATTTAGTAATCACCCCCCTATTTAACTAAGACGAGAAAAGTTCCTTCTCTATGCTATGTTGTGCACACCATTGCTAATTAGCAGGCCATGGTACATGCAAAATATGTAAAAGATCACATTAGTGGAAATCTAATATTAGATCCCAAACATTTATGCTTTCACAAATCTAGAAATTTATTATATTTCACCTAACCACCACTGCCAACAATAAAAGAACAAGATTAAATGTGAATCCACACTTAGTTCGTTTTCCTTTTCTTTTTGAACAAGCATGTGATAAGGACCACATGAAGAATCATACTGCCAGGGTGCAGGTAAAAGTAAGACAAAGGGGGCCATAAAGCTGCACCCATGCATCAAGAAGAACAAGAGAAAAGGTCCAAAGAAGGCTTCTAGTCATTACCATCCATAAGTTTAGACAGTGATTATATACTATAACTTGCAATAATGTGGACACAACTTCTACCAGAGCGATAGAGAAATATTATCAAATTCTATTCTGTTCATGTAAACAATGAACTGAGAATCAGATAGAATATATAAAAGAGGAGATGTAGGATAAAATAGATTTCTAGAATCCACATAATGAGGCAGTCTCCAAGATTAATTTCCAAAACGCTCAAGAGCCTGAACAAATAATGTGAAACTAATGTACTGTTAACCTTTTGCCCTGAAGTTGGATCAACAACAGCTTCTTCCAGAGCAACCTGCCTCAAAAGGACGTTACCCCTTGTAGCACGAAATATAATTCTTTCAAACGCCATAGCTTTTTCTTTAGGCACAAGACCGGTGACAAACCCCAATCTAACTTGTTTGCTTAGGTCATGACTTGATTCCTACAAATACACATCATAAGTTACATAAGAAATGTAGAAGCTACATAAAGAATGAAGATAAATATGGATGTCACATTATATACATGATCCTTTAATAGAGGAGTTGCCAAAGATTCAGCAGGCAGATCTGGTGAAATCTCTTTTTGCCGAGCTGAAGCACTGATTTGTGCATCTTTGAAAAACTCTCCAGCCTGGAAAACAATTCGAACATCGAAGTCAGGTAACGCAAGCTACTTATCATAGGAAGGATAACAGTTAAAAGGATAACCAACCACTGGAGGAAGAAATAACACAAAATATTACATATTTTGGGCTAAGAAATCAAACCTCTGTTCCAACAGAAAAGGAGGGAACACACACACACACACACACCCAGAGGGAGAGAGTCCTATAGTTAAGATGTCCATACTTTATAACTGCATCTCCGATATTACCACCCAGTAACGGTTGAAAAGTGCAGCAGTTCTGCATGACGAAGATGCTTATGGTGCAAAGTGAAAACAACGCATCATGCTTACATTCGTAAATGGTTCCTGAGTAGTTTGCAACATCAAACTTTCCACCTACTAGCTTATGTTTGGTAGCTCTAGCAGAATATGAGAAATGGGTGAAGGCCCTCATGAATTTTCTCCTGTTCTCTATTTACATTACTTGCCTCATTTAGGTCGGTAAATATGGCCTTCTGCTAACCATCAAGGATACCAAGTTAGAACAGCATATGACTTCGACAATCATAACTTAAGAGGACTCTAAAAGATATGGTTCCAAAAACCAAATACTATCGCTTACTGGGTTCAGTACTAATTCCTTTTCCTGAATTTTGTACTTCTGTTCTTTTGATAAGACGTTTATATTTCCTCTCAGCCAGTGCAAGAAATATGAGTCTTACCCCCTTATTCGTTGTTCCTTTTTCATATGTCTACCCTTTTTCTTCTTTCCTTTCCAGAATCGTCTTTGTTTGTGTGCAGTTTCGATGAGCAGATCCCAAGCACTAGTTTCCACACTTTTACCTATTTCCTAAGTGATATCTTCACCAAAAAGATGTATTGCTGCCGTTATACCAGAACTTACCATCAAATACTCTCAGAAAATTCCCCCAAGACATTATGTGTAACAGTGTAAGTAGGAGCCTAGGAGGGAAGGGAGAGGTTGTTGGTTTCAAATATACATACGCTTACCATCCACATGAACACATACATATAGGGTATTTTTCATATATTCTTTGAAGCTAATTACAATGATTTATAGATACAAAGAGGAGCTATTCTAGGTTTTACAATCTAAGGCAACTATTACGGAGAATTATTGAGGGTATGAATTTGTAAAAAGAAAATCTTTCTTTAATTTATAATTAACAGTTCATCACGCCAACACCCCCTTTCAAGTTGAGCATTAGAGATATATCCCAGTTCATCACGCCAACACCCCCTTTGGCCATTACATTGTCGGTGTGCCATCGCCTGGACAAGAAATTTATTCAAGACAGCTGAGAGAGGTCCCCAAACTATATCCCAGTTTGTCTTTGGTTGTTAAATACATCTCAACCACTTGGAACCAAAGGGCATAATTCCAATTTAATACCTATTGATGCCCACATCATTTGTCGATGTTGCAAATGCTTTATTCAAAGCATCTGGCATTTTTTGTTGTAAGGTCTATGAGGGTAGAAGGTGATGAAGGTCTTTTGGAACCATCATCATCAGCCATGGTAGTGGTGGTGTGAAGGATTTCATTGGAAGGCTGCATATATCAATGAGCAGGATGTCAAATTGTAGGGTTATTTTCATATATTCTTTGAAGCTAATTGCAACTATTTATATATACAAAAGGGAGCTAGTCTAGGTTATACAATCTAAGGCAACTATTATGGAAAACTATTAAGGAATGAATTTATAAGAAAAATATTTCCCTAATTTGTAATTAACAGCTCATGCCAAAGTTGCCTACATGAAGCCCTCCCAGAGGAGGTTATTAAACAAACTATGCTATGTTATTTTTAGAAAGAAGAGTAAAAAGAGCATGATATTACGTCGCCCATAGATATTCGTAGGCCATTCATTTAAACACTAACTGATAAGCAGAGTTCTTTAAGGCTTCATTATCTTCTTAGTTCTCAAATTAAGTAGTTCCATATCCCCACAAAACATGAAAATTGACAAGCCCACTTATTCAGACTCTTCTGTTTGACAGCTAAAAGATATTGATTGTGTTTATGGGGATATGGTTTCTAATGTGAAAACATAAATTTCTTACTTTGAAAGCCCCCTTTATGTAATATCATTTTGTGTGCCAACAATCTAGCATCATAAGCAACCAATGCGACAACCGTAAACAACAAAGATAGCATACCTTTTGTAGAACAAGCTTATATTCTGTAAGCTCGCTATAGCCATGCTGCAATTTTTCATTATTTGCATTTACTTCAATCAGCTCCGCTTCAAGTTCTCCAAGTTTCGCCTAAAACAGTAACCACCATAAAGAAGGCTTAATTTCCTAGACAATGGAAGATACATGCATGCACATACAATCTTATATTAACCTCCAGGTCTTCCAGATGCATATCAGCTCGTGCAACAGATTTTGATGAACGTGTGATACCCGCCTTTGACATTTGATCATTGAAGAACCGCAGCTTCCGTGTCATTTCTCCACATCGTTTGATCTTCAGAACAGAAGCAAATTCAAGCAGTCTCACTAAATAAACTTCAACCAGCAATGGAAGCACAAAATATATCCTTAGGAGCCATAGAAAGATACATCAAGAAAACCATGTTCACACCGATCCAAAGCATAGACAACAATCCCACCTAAAGATCTCTGCTTCATGAAAAGTGTGGGTGTACTTCAATTCTAACTGTTAGCACAATCTTGATGTTACACGTAGTTGAACGGTCATGTCTTTTCAAGAGCCACCATATACGTTCTATATAAATCTCAACCCGATAAAGTAAGCACAAAAACTCCGTTTAATATATTTGTAGTAATCTTTTAAATAACCAAAACAATTACAGCAGTATATTGTCTGAAATGCGCCACACTGGTAAGAATTTCTCTTGTTCTCACAACTTAAGTAAATCCATATCCGTTTTAAAGCTTAGAATGCAAATATCAACTTTCCAAAACCAATGTATCTCTGGATTTGGTGAACATGGAGTAACAATAACATGTTTCATGAAACTTGAAGCAGGAGCAAAATTTCACCTGGCTAGCATATGTTCGCTGGAAAGGACTTTTTTCTGCATTCAGCTGTAGATAACAATAAATTTAACATCAAAAGACAGAATAACAGAAAGTATTATCCCTGTAAAAAAATCTGAACACATAAGCATAATTTTCACTTGACCAATCAGGAAAACGTATAAGAACACACCAAAATATTTTTTTAGCAAAAGTATAAATGTCATAACATTCTACATTTCCCCCTTTTTCTTATTTCGTTTGCCATCTCTAAGTTTAAACTTATTACCAATTTACATGCTAAGCAAAGGCCTTTTACTCACACATGGAGGTTAACAACTAAAGGGGAAGTGTGCAATAACCAACATAAAATCCATCACATGATAAGGAGAATGGTAATCACATAAATTGATATTATCATAACCACATTGTTCACAATAAACTAAGAATGAGATCTGAATTGCTAAAAACCAATTGAAAGAAAACCTGGTTTTACTCAATTCACTTAATCTGAAAAGTCATCAAAGAAGCAAAACCTTAGTTTGAGCAAATCGACTTGAGAATTACAACCAAAATAGGGTAGGATCATAATAATAGATTGCAATAATGATACAACAATTAAATTTGTTGTAGCAAGTGAGAGAGAAAAGACGAATACAGACATCTTTGAATTGAATGAGGCCAATATCTCCGAGGTAGGAAACGGTCAAGTGAGCGGATTCAATAGGAACGATGAGTTGTACCAAGTGCATGGCCTCTGAACGGAAGAGATCCATAGGCGGAATACATCCACCGCCATGCTTCGCCATCTTTTGCCGCATTCTTTGCCGACGTCGTAAAACTTCGAGATTGATGGGGTCTTTGTAGGTGTCTGAAAGTGTCGACATCATTCACAACATTGCAATTGATTTGGTTGTGCTTCTCTTCTCATATTTGAATTCTAGTTACCCAACATGGTTCACAAATTTTATTTTTATTTTTTTAATTTTCTTTTTCCAGATTTTATGTCCAAAATAACTGTCGAAAAAGCCGCTCAGAGTTCAAGCCAAAAAAAAACGAGTTAATTAATCACGAGTTGTAACACGAGTATCGTAGGCGAACTCGTGAAACGGGTATCGAGCACAAGTTCAAACATCAACAACATAATTGAGCTCAAGTTCAAGCTTGATATTATTTTTTCTTGTCGAGCTTTGACCCCTGCCATAAGACCATCCAGCAATCCGAGGTTCCAATAAGCTTATATAAATGTTCATTTTACACCTTCTAGCTCGTGTTATAGCTTAATTAATAAGTTGGCATTCTCTTGTGAATCCAATTACATAAAACGAACCAATAAGCTCGCTGAAATCGCCACCTACATGCATTATATACAAGGTTTAAATTTGATATTTGGAGAAAATAAATATAAATTCAACAGATGAGGGTTTACTATTCATATAGATTCACTAATATCACACAACATAATGTTGCTCCATTCAACATACAACTCAAAAGTCACGTAAACGTTAATCGAACAAATTGAGTAGTTAATCTTTCGGTTCTGTAAACCATCCCAAGTTCATACTCTTTTTACGCTGTCACCGTGAACGACTACAAATCCCTCGCTTGCAAGACTACTTAGCGCGTTTCGTAGCTGACACATGAACAAAAAACCAATCCGTTAATACACAAATCACCGGAGCATTATTCATTCATTATATCTTTTATATCTTTATTTTCCATATAACATAACCCCTTTTCTTTTCGTAAAAACGAGTGAAGGTATGCTCAGGTTTATCGTGAGAACTGTAAATATACATTTATACCGTGTAAAGGTTACAACATTCACACAATATAATGTAACCTTCATCGTGAAAATGAAAATTTCTCTCATGATCATGACTCTAATATAAGATGCTACGATGATGTTATCATGAGCGGAGAACTTACATCGTTAAGGTGGAGTTCCGCATTATTGCTTCGTTGCTTCAATTCTTCCAACAACTGCACAATATTACACTTCTCGTAAGGCTCATGTCATAATACTTATGGCCATGAATGAGTTTCTTAAACCTAAAAACAAACAGTGTACCTCTAGTATACGAGTAGATGGACCTCCTAGTTGCAATTTTTCCATAATAACGTTTCGAGCCAACCCAACCAAATTCTCCCTCCTCATTCTTTCGCTTGCAGACACGCCAGTCGTTATAAGGTCCATGTCAATTGTTCCTGTTGACAAAATGGTAGAACAGGAATCTAATTATCAACCAACAGTGTTATTTTACAGCAAGATAAAGAATCAGGTGGACTAGAGATATGAAATAATTGATGGCATATTTATCTTTTTCAACTAAATTGATGTTTACCAGTGGCATGATCGGTTGCAGACTGCTGTAGTGCAACTTCAAGAAGCCGAAAAGCCTCAATGACATCTTTCTTCTCCACCCACTCTGAGAAGCGGATCCGAGCCAGAGCCTCACTGAGGCGTATCAGACTTTCAATTTGTCTAGGAGTAGCCGTTATCACCTGAAGATCGAATAAAAAAAGTTGCAGAACATACTCGGGATTATTTCTCATAAAAAATATCTAAACAGTTGAAGATAATGCTTTTCGGGGCTGTTTGGTTGGTTTTAAAATAAATTAATCTGTCTGTACAGATTGGGAAGGTTTTTGTTTGGGAGAGTTTCTTCATAGGTGGAATGAGCCACTTTCTATATCGTTAAACCATTACTAAACAGTCATATGTATAACTGACTGAATAAGCTGAATCCCATTGAGCTCATTAAGCTGCTAACAAACAGACCCTTGGTCTAAAAAGTACCAACCTTTTTACTACTTCCTGGGAAATTTCCTCTTCTTCTCATTTCGACATAACCACGTGTCAACTCTTCAGCAGCTTCATCAGACAACTGTGGGTGTATGTTCTTTCTGGCATAGCTCAAATAAGCAGTCAAAGTTGGAAGGTCTATCACATTCTGCTCCGAATTCTACAAGCAAAAATCAAAAAAGGTTAGGACTATGGCATTCAGCAGGTCAAGTAAGATATTTACTTCAAATATTTCACCAAAACAATTAAAAAAATCCAACCTCGGGATTTTCAAAATGTAATGCAACAATATGCTTGGCAAGCCGCCTATCTGTCTGCTCATCAGCTTTGTCGAGAATCAAGTAAATCAAATCAAATCTGAGAAAACATGAGTTGGTCAGAAAGTAATCCTGAAAGAATTGTATACTTGAAGGATCTTTGTATGTAATTATTTCATATGACAGTAGAAGTGAAAACTATGTTTTAACCTGGAGAGCAATGTTGGGGGAAGATGTATATTGTCAATCACAGACAAGCGAGGATTATAACGCGAGCCACTTGGATTTGCACAGGCCAAGACTGAAGTCCTTGCATTAAGAGAAGCAATAATCCCTGCTTTTGCGATCGACACAGTTTGTTGTTCCATCACCTATGAGGATCAAATGACAGCATACACAACCGTTTCAAAACTAAAAGAATCAAATTTGATTGCAGTACAAGAATAAGAAAAGAATATATGAAATGTATATCGCACCTCATGTAACATGCTCCTTGCATTTTCAGACATTTTATCAAATTCATCAATACAACAGATGCCTCTGTCACTAAGAACCAACGCCCCACTTTCCAAAACCTGATGATCAGTTGTACAGTATAAGTCTCAAAGCACCATGCTTTCTATCAGCAAAATGAACCAATAACTTCAAGAACAAGTTCACACGTACCGTTTCACCAGTTTCAGGATCTTTGGCCACATAAGCAGTCAATCCAACGGCTGAGCTCCCTCTTCCACTGGTGTAGATACCACGAGGTGCTAGCTTGTGTATGTACTGAAGAAGCTGGGATTTGCTGGTACCAGGATCACCAACTAGAAGAATATTGATATCTCCCCTGAAGCTAGCCCCAGATTGCAACGTCAAAGCACTGCCACCAAAAAGCTGCATTGGCAGAAAATTTCAACTCGGATGCTTGAATAAGACAGATGTCAAACAAGGAATATGCTGATGCATTTCCATTATGCACATTTGATTGATTACAAATAATAATTGACTTCTTTGCAGTAGATTACTGAAAGTACCTGGCAAAGGAGTCCTTTCTTCACATCATCCAACTCCCATATGTTTGGTGCCAAAGACCTTGTAAGCATCTCATAAATATCAGGCTGTTTTGATAACTCTTTCAATTTCTCCACCTATGGTTGCAGAAAGATATATGAGTACTGTGTAAATCATGAAGCAGTGCAAACTAACAATGGTTGAAATTGTTGCCTGTTCTTCGTAGTTCAGAGGGGTTCCTTCATCATTTTGAGTAGTGCTTTGTTCGGTTTCCATTGGATCTTCTGCGTTCATTCTTGACTTATCTGTCTTCTTTAGATGAAGACAATCAATGTATGTCTGAAACCAAAAAGGAGTTGTCAACTAATATCATTTACAATAACTTTACGTGGAACGATGAAACATGGCATGAACGTCTACCTTGAATACAGATTTCATAGTTCTTTGGGTTTGGCCAACTCTCACACTCATAGCCCTATATATCCCAGTAACCTTTTCAACAAGAACAATCTTTTAGAACAACCAAGCACAGTGAATAAGATCCATCTTGATCTAACTTGGGTACTTTTTTCAAGTTCATGTTGAAGCTTACCTCAACCCTGTCACCAGGTTTTCCAGCATCGACCAATTTGTCATGCATCAGCAAGCTCACCGTATGAGGTGTACCCCCTTCAGGGATCTCATCAGGCGTCTCCTGGACTCTTACAATTTGTTTATCGGCAAATCTGTTCCATAGTACCACGAATAAGGCAAGTATAGCAACACATATATATATGTAAAAACAGATACTTCTATTAGTGAATGATGTTGTTTGATACATAGACAATAAGACTTTTAGGATAAGTACACTATATGCTTCAGACAAAAAGCTTAAAGTGTAGTAATTTTATATCAATGAGGTCAGATATGATCGAGTTGGATGGATATACCTGCATCTATTGTGAACCAATGTCATTGAGTTCTTTGTCTTGCACTCTTCCTTCATACACATGGTAGGTTCACTGATTCTTCCTGTTAACACCGTATGACCAATTTAATTCATATAAAAGAGATTGATTAGATAATCTTTATGATCTTAATAACATACTACATCTGCTCCAAAAAACAAGATACCATTTCCCCACAACCGAATAAACTCGTTCCATTTGTTATATAATGTGAGAATATGCGGAACCTATTAGATTACTCTGGTATTAGAGTCGGGAAACTAACCTCTGTCTACAACAATGGGATCAGAGAAGTGCCCACACACTAGACATCTGAACACTGCTTCCCTGATCTCGGGAATAATCGAACTGCATCTAATAACCATTCCTTTCAATGACACCATCTTCTCAATATCTGATAATGCACAAAATTTACAAATTAGATAAGCAAAAGTGATCATATCCACCTTCAAGTACTAAAGCTTTTTTATCAGATAAAACTAACCAGATGGGTTCAGATTTCTCATGGAAGTTGATGTCTTCAGATTAAAAATCCGAGCTTGTATGTGCTTTTCAAATAATGGGTTGATTCTACTAACCAAATCCATCAGCACAATATCAAATATGGCAAGAACTTCCAAAGGATACCTCACCATCTTCGTATACAAATCGTTATCATAGTCAAAAACATCATTAGCATCCACTTCCAAAGACTCCCCTTCGATTTCGATTACATGGTGGATAGATTTCATGTATTTTCCCTCATCGTGCGAAGGGTGTTCCCGGAAATGCCTCAAAAACCTCAAGATTGCAGCGTTCACATCCTGCACACTGATACTGGTTCCCCAAACGAACATTGGCGGCGCCTCATCGGCTTCATCAGGATCTCCACCTTCGGATGACGGGGGTGCATCGTCAGTTGAAGATGGAGTCGCGGTTACGGAGGGAGCTCTCCTTCTACCACCACCTCGGCCTGATGGAGCCGTGGAACTAGGGGTTGGGGTAGCGTCAGGTGTGGCGGCGAAGCGGGAATGTGACGGTGGTGGTGGAGTCTCGTATGCCGCAGAACGCCGGCCGCGCTTTCGACGGCTGCTGGGAGCATTGTTCGGAGACGAAAATGTGTTTCCGATTGGGCTTGAGATCCCATCATCAGGTGATGAAGGTCCTGTAAATTTCCATCGAATTAACTCAATTGAAACAACAAAATCCAATGTAAAATCCCTAATTTCTACAAAAGACAAATTGAAAACCAAAACATCAAAATTAAGTAAATAGATAGAGAGTTACCACCGCGGTTGTTCGCCGGAGTAGAGTCAGAAGCCATGCCTGAAGTCTAAGGGAGGTAGATTGAGATACGACTAGGGTCTATGGGCAATGTGTAAAGCCATTGGAGAGTAACTGTGTATCTTGGAACTTTTGGCGGGAAAGAGCTGTTGCTTTGGCGCCAACAAGTTAATTTGGGCTTAATGCTGGGCTTTCGGGCCGATCCGTGGGCTGTAAACCGAGTCCAAAACTCTGTTTATCTTAAAATGTTTATTTAGATTTATGGATTGTTTGTTTACCTCTTAATGGTTCCATTAAGAGCCAGATTCTGAATCGTTAAGATGTAATTATTGTTTGCCAAAAAAAAAGTATGGCTCTTAATGGTTCTAAAACCTTCTGAATGATTTTGTATCTTATGTATCCATTAACCATTCAGCACTCTAATTTCATTCTGAATAATTACCAAACAATTATATTTCATTTTTTACTATATTATAAGAGTCTCTTAATCATTCTGACCATTTAATCATTCTGCATCAAACCATTCAGCAACTGTCAAACAACCCCTTAGACATTGAATTCATCTGGTTTGTTAGAGCATCTTCAACAGTTTGGATTTTGAGAATTTCATTTCAGTCGATTTTTTGTAAAACCTTCTTTGGATGGAACAAAGAAATTACTTTTTATTATTCCTATTAATGAGAGATCGTGAATAGGCATGGCAACGGGCAGGAATGAGGCGGGTTTTGTAATCCCCGACCCCTGTTTTAGTAACAACTCCCGACAAGTACAGGGATTAACATCCCGACCCTGGTCAAACCCATGAATAATATCCGTTAGTTTAAGTCTACTAGGGATCCCCAATCCCAAGCCGGATCGGGCCAGGAACTGGAACCGGGACGGGCCCATTTTCCCATAAAACTCTATGTGAGACTCTGAGTTAGACATTGAATTCATCTGGTTTGTTAGAGCATCTTCAACAGTTTGGATTTTGAGAATTTCATTTCAGTCGATTTTTTGTAAAACCTTCTTTGGATGGAACAAAGAAATTACTTTTTATTATTCCTATTAATGAGAGATCGTGAATAGGCATGGCAACGGGCAGGAATGAGGCGGGTTTTGTAATCCCCGACCCCTGTTTTAGTAACAACTCCCGACAAGTACAGGGATTAACATCCCGACCCTGGTCAAACCCATGAATAATATCCGTTAGTTTAAGTCTACTAGGGATCCCCAATCCCAAGCCGGATCGGGCCAGGAACTGGAACCGGGACGGGCCCATTTTCCCATAAAACTCTATGTGAGACTCTGAGTTAGTTTGGTTTAATTATATGATTATTGAGTAATTTATGCTCACCATCAAAATTATCCCTGAACAAACCATATATGTAAATTTATATATTAGTTTAAGCTTACTGAAATCACCAAATTACGTATGCATAATTAAACTGACGATGATCTTCACGGCATTTGTAAGGAGTCGTTTACTAAACGTTTATCCAGTAAGCGTTTATCGCCTCATTTACTTTACCGCATGAATATGGTAAGAGTGAAAAGCTTCTCCCGTAAGAGCGATAATAAAGATGGAGAATCTTACCCGATAAGTAATGGTGACAATTCTTACCCGGTAAGCGCTTACTAGGTTAAATCGTTGCATACGATACCATTTCGATGGATTACAATCTTACTCGGTAAAGTAAATTATAGTGTTGATTCTCACGGTAATCGCTTAACCGATAAGCAACTGGGTAAACGACCAATAAGTCACTGTTTTGAAATTTACACCATACCTATCTGTACCAACTGAAACTATAATAGATTCATGCATCGTGAGAACGACTGAATGTATGTGAAAGCAGGTAAAGATGGTAAAAATCCGATATCGCTCACAACCATAATCCCTAAGTTTTATTTATTTACAAAAAAGCCATTGTGGTTTTATGAGCTATCAAATAGAAAAGGGGGATTAGCATGTGGTTTGGTTTATATGGCATTTTTAAGTAGCACAAAAGTTGCTTATGGAGATGCCCACCCAACCTCTCTACTTATGATAGAGGCACAAGTGGACAAAAGGGGTGGAAATCATTGTCAATATTCCCATTCTCTTTGCAAAAATAAAAATATGGCATCAATTTTATAATAGATATTAAAAACAGATGAATTTAGGGGTTATTTGACAGTAGTTGGATGGTTTGCAGTGATAAAAATGATTAAAAAGCTCTCATGATATAGTTTAAAGTGGAATATAATTGTTTGCTAATTGTTTACAATGAAATTAGGGCGCTGAATGGTTAAGGGATGCCTATGATACAAAATTATTTTAAAAGGGTTTTGGGACCATTAAGAAGCAGACTGTTTTTTACCAAACAAGATTTATCTCTTAAAGATTCAAAAGTTGTTTCTTAATAGAATTATTAAGAGATAAACAAACAACCTCTTAAAATGAAATGACATAGAACATAATTACAATTTGTATTTGTTGATGAAAACCCCTAAACAATATTAAATTAGACCCCAATGTTTTGTGGACGCTCTTAAAATTAGATTTGTATTCAATAAAATCAAGGGCAAATTGCATGAAAAAATAACGTATTTTAATTTGATTCCTATTTTGGGTAACATACTTTGAAAACTTCCATTTTAGTACCTACGATGTAAGGTTTTAAACATTTAAGTACACGGGTAACCGGTTGAAGACTAAATTTAGATTAGAAAAGTCCATGTTACTAATCACGTCAGCAAATAATATTGAGTTGGATATCAGATCACTCGCAGCGAGATACATCATGATTTTAATATTTCATTTTCTTCTTTATCTCAGTCGATATTATAATATGGCTTTATGTAATTTTGAGAAAGCGATAATGTTTTTATTTTTGAATAAAATATATGTTTGAAGATATCATAAAATTTTGACAAAAATATATCGATATTAGTATCAAATTAACTATTTGAAATTCCTCATTTTTTTGTGTAAATTTTTAATTCAATTTTTTTATAATTTAATTT